AGTGAGCCGAGATCGTGCCACTGCACTCCAGCCAGGGTGACAGAGCAAGATTCCATCTCAAACAAACAAACAAACAAACAAAACAAAACAAAACACCATGATTTTTTTAGTTTCTAGTGGAGGGCTCTTATTTGGTTCTGTGAATAATTATTTTTGTTTCCTATGCATTTCTAGCAAGTCATTCTTTGTTCCATCTATCTGAAATTCCTAAGCTACCTTTGTCAGGTCCACAGGAATTAATGGAGCACACTAGCCTTTTAACCTTAAACTAACTTTTTGGATTTTAGGGTTCTTGATACTTTAAGTGTGTTGAGTATACTCTTGTAAATAGAATTTAAGACATATTTCTCTCTCTTTGCCTACTTTTTCCAAAATTTATAAATTATTTGTGAATATTCTTAATTCATAGCAATGTGTTTGTTTGTATCCAGTCAAGCAGGGTCTCCAGGGCCACTCAAGGAGAGAGAGCCCAGAAACCTGGCATGCCAGCAAAAGGGTAAGAATTTCTTACCAGTTAGTCTCTGATCTCTTTCTCTTTGTGCAAACTGATTAAATGAAAGGTACAAGTCACTGGTTATTTCCTCTGTAAGCTTTTAAATTAATTGGTTTAATAATAATAAGAGCTTAAATCAAATATTTTGTCAGAAAAGTAAAAAGTGCAATGCCTTTTATTTAATTCATGTGACGAGTAATTTTTGGGAAATAAAGATGTTTTTAATGATTATTAGTAGAATACAAATGTCTTCAAAATGTAAATATGTGGTCCAAATTATGTTCAAATATTAGGTTTGCTGAATGCTTTAAGGTCACCGAGCTGCTTCTTTGGCTTTTGAAAACTGTTTAACTCACCTGCTTTACAACTAGGTAAGGCCTGGGGACATGTGGAGTTGGCCACACCCCTAGCTATGCTGGAAATAATCAGACCTTATTAGCACCTAGTACATAATTAACATAACTTATCAGGTTTTACATTAAAATTAAAATTGCTGAGAGTTGCCATTATAACATGCAATTACGACCACTAGAAACAGTTTTACGTGCGAGGTGTGTAAAGACAGTAAAATGTGTGGGGTTTTTTTGTCAAAGGTTATAAAAGGATTTTGCTTGTTTAAAATTTCTGAGTCATCATTTTGGCAAAATAAATAATTTAGTTTCAAATTTGTCTTTCTAATGCCTGACTTTTTAGATGGATCAGAGGGCCCCTGAAAACATCTAGAAAAGAGGTAAACAGGATTATTTAACATGTTTAGGTACATGGGATTGCGAGAATGATGTCCGATCTTCTTTAGGTTATATTTTTGTAAATAATACTAATATATGTTCCAAAATTCTATGGGATTTCTAAAATTCTAAAGTCTAAGTATATTCTACCAATCAATTATAATTATGGTTATTATGTTAAGTTATTGTAAACTACAGCAATAACCAAATTTCCTTCTATAAAACTACTAACCCAAGTAGAAAAAGAGTTCATTAAATACCAAGAAAATAGTTTGTCAGATTTTCATGTTAACCCAGCTGATACTGAAATTGTTTAAATATACAATTTGAATAAACTTCACGGTCTAAGTCGAATTACCTATGATAACCATCAGTTATCAGTGCTATGATTTAGAAAAACAACTGGTATTCAAGAGGATATGAGTCTAATGTTAATTAAGCATGGCCTTCTGGAGAACCAGGATGACCACCTCGTCCTCCCTGAGTCCTTAAAGATTTTATTATTAAAAGTCTTGCATTCCATGACTCATCACAGAAAAGATAAAATAATCCAAATTAAATACATTAGTGTGGGAACTTACAAATTACAAAAATAGTTTGTAACCAATGTTTAGTCCCATATTCCTGGGAAAACAGTTAAAGCATCGGGTACATTTGGTCACCTGGGGGGCCATTTAAACATTTTATAAAGGAATTTCATTCAATTGTTATTTTCAATGCATGTTTTCTGGTTGTATAAAAGCTTTCCCGTACAAGAGGGCTGATGTTATAACAGCAGATCATTATGCTACAGTGTGTTTTGACTAGGTAAAGAAAGTTTTTTATGGTTTGAATCTTTTGGGAAGATCGGAGAAAGAACTGTCCTTGCCATCCACACTACAACAAAATTTCGGGACCTTGAACTCTGGGTTCATAATCTCACAACTGAGAAGGGTCTCTCCATATTCTTGGAACTGTACACCCATTGGAACCCTTGAGGTTTCTACCCAGAGGAGGATGACATCGTTGATGTAAATAGCTTTTCCCAAGTTCACAGATTAAGACTTCTACTATCATGAAACTCTCATCTATGAGTATGTCCCTTGCTTATGCCTCTCTGAACAATAGAAGTGGAAAAGAGGTCTGTTATGTGCCCTTATGGGGTGTACTTTTATTTGTGAAGGAGTTTGCAGCCAGGTTTATACATGAATAACCTTATACTTTGATAGATAAAAGATGAAGGCCCAAAGTAGGTAAGAAACGTTAATGGTACATATGTTGCCTCATAATCAGTCAGAAACAAAACACTGGTTCATTCCTCTTAACCCACATAATGGGTTAAAAAGAATATTGCCAGGAGGCCTTCACTCTTCTAGAAGGGCATCATTTGTTAGGTCCTTTTTCCATGGTATAATGTAAAAGAAGCAATGATTAGAAATGTATCCCTCATGATAGGCTCTATAACAAATTCTACTGTAAAGGACACAAATTAAATTACCTTGTGAAAGTTACGATAGAATTAGCTGAACAGAGAAGTATCTGTGCAGCTGCTGGCACTCATGGCCTATGGAGAAAACATCTGGTATTACAGAAATTCAGTTGTAGTGGATTAACAATGAAACTGCTTCTTTAAGTCATCCTTTGATCTATTTGGTTTTAG